TATCATGGCATCAGACGTGTAAACATGTCCTTGATCTAGTTAGCTGCACTTGGCATGTTATAGTATAGAAAGTAAGCAGCTACATGGAGATCATGTGTTTATCACCAGGCAGGCAGATGATAGCCATGATATGGTGGATTAAGTTATCTGATCACTTAATAATGTATATTTATAGTGTCTTCAGACAGCTCTTTAAGCAGGGGAAGGGGGGCCAAAAGAACCTCCTTTTTGGATGCAGAAGAGGTCTCCCCTAACTTGTTATGAAGTTTTCGTTCAGTACCATTTTTTAAGCTGTGTCTACTGAAAAAAAAAAGGTCAATTTTTTTCAGAAAAAAATACTTGGATGAGTTCAAGCTTAGGTTGCACTGGTAACGCCAGACTAAGTGTCATTAGGACGCTGTCATTGGTCAGGTTGATTGGTCTGTAAACTATGTATATATTATTTAGTTACACAACTTGTTATGGTACTGTTGTAATTAAGACTGGTTTGAAGGCAGCATGGCACTGCCAGGCTTGCACAAACTTGAGAGAGTTTTTTTTTTCTTTTTTTTATAAAGCGTAAGGTTAATGACCTTAACCTAATGAGTACACGTCTGTCTTTCATATACATTAATGGTACTCCACTTAAACAAACTTGAGAAAGAGAGAGGAATGGGAAAGGTGAGAGAGACAGAGTCAGAGGGCATCCTTTTGTAAACAGCATGAGGTGAATGACCTTTCCCTAATGAATACACATCTTTTTTATGTACACAAATGGTACTGCACAATGGCGATCATGAATTTACAAGCCAGTCAAGCACTGGATGCCCCCTCATTGAATATATTACCAAGGGTTAAGTGGAGGCTGTGGTTTGCTGGTTTTGTTCCTGATAAATGCATGTTTGCCATGTGCGAGGCGTGTGTACTGAAGCCTGTTTGTCCTTCTTGGAATTTTCCTCACTGAAAACAAATATGTGCTCTCCAAGGGTTTCCATATGGTGACTGGTTTAGGTAACATTAAGAGGGGTGTAATCTACCAGAAAATGCTGGAAAATGTAAAAGAAAGAAAAAAAATGGATGTTTATTTTTATTTTGTGTGTGTGTGTGTGTGTGTGTGTGTGTGTGTGTGCTGTTTTTTTTTCGGCAAGTCCGGTGTCCCTAAAATAATAAATTTTAAAAACTGACATTGATTTGTACCCAAGTTAAAATATTTCACACCCTCTTTGCTGCTCACCTGATAATGATAAAAATTAATAAAAAATTACATTTTCACAAGTGATTAATCAAGGCATAACACAATTCTACAAGATGATGAGTTTTGGCTTATTCCATTCTTGGTAAGCCGTTTTATGTCAGGATCGTAACGTTAATTGCTGAATTCCAAGTCTAGTAGTGGGCTAATTGTCCCAGTGTGGTAGTACAGACATGTATCACATCATGTTGACAAATAATGACATTTAGCATTTGACGTCTGCCAGCCGTAAATGATGCTGACTCTCCCAGTGAGGTTGAGTGACGCAAAGGTCTTGTTTATAGTCTAGAGATCGTCATTTAATCCCTAGTAGGTTGTTGGCACTCATCTTGGGAGAGTATAACATTAGTATAACAACATTTGATGGGCTTGCTATTCAGACATTGGTGAGTGTGGCATATATTTGTTTTTTGCTGTTCTAAGACAAAAGCAGAATATTGGATCTGACTTCTAAAGAGAGAAAGCAATTTCAGGATTTTGTTTTTCAGAACATCTATGTTATTGTTTTCAGGATGTCTGTGGTAAATATCATAAATAATATATAACTATCAGGATGTATTTGTAACAATGGGGCCACAGAGGTGCTGGCTGACAAGGGGTTCTGAAGCATGTGGATTGGTATATTTAAAATGCATGAGAAAATGATATTAATGATTTATCATTATTGCATTGATTGTATATGAATATTCATTATGTTGTTTTATGTTTATATAATTCAAGTGGTTTGGGCTAGAGAATTGGCCCAGTTGAGGTTTGAAGATGGCAGCTAATTGATTGTTAATGTTCTTCAGTGGTAATTGTGTAAAATTGCATGTATTTGAAAAGGCGTATTGTATGGATATATTGTAAAGACATCATCTATGTCTGTTTATTTCAGAGTGGCCTTGCAGGAGAACTAGCCAGCCTGAAACTAGACGCCTCCCCACAACAACCCATGGAAGCTGTGCCCGAACACGAGCGCCGCGAGAGGTGGGAGCGCGGACAGGTGGACTACCTGGGCGAGGACAGTTTTCAGAAGATCCAGGAAAGGATAGACTCCACGCTGCAGTCTGGTCCGCCCCAGGGACAGCCCAAGCCCGTTGACAAGAGCAAAGGAGCTGTCCCTAAGGCTAGTAGAAAGCATGTCCGGAAATAGAGCATGTACAGTGTGTATTGCATGCTTGGCTCAATTTGTGTACATGGTATGCAGACTGATTTTGTTTTTGCACATTTGTTTGTTTGTTTAGATGCTGTCATTTTGATTTCTGTTTATGTTCATTTGTGATTTTATTTGTGTAGACGCACTCTTTTTAAGTTGTCATTGTATAATGTAATCAGACTGAAATTTCCCAAATCTTCTGTATTAAACCACCTTATTTGATAACTGCTGCATGTGAAGTAATTGTTTTTATAATTGCATGAAGACAAATTTTACGAAATGCCTTACTTTTTCACTACCCATCCTAGTTTCTACCCTGGCTTTTAATTTTTTGACACCTATCACCAGCATTTTAAGCTAACCCAGACCAAGACCAACTTCTCATAAGAACTTTAGAGTAAAATTTGGTAAAGCCATAGTTTTTAGACCACCATTTTAGTCAACTTCATATCTTTTAGACCAACAGTTTAGTCTACTCTATATATATCTTTTACACCAAAATTTTATTCGATTTTAAATCATTTGTACCAGCATTTTAGTTTACTTCAAATCTTTTAGACCAACATTTAAGTTTACTTCATACGAGAATTAATGTGCAGTAGTACATTTAATGGAAAAGAAGTTTCTCTTTGATATAACTAAATATAATTCACTGAATTGGACTGCTGTTTCTTTATGTTTGGTCTAGGTTTCCAAAGATTTCACTCTAAAGTTCTTAGGGAAAAGGGTTGCTGTTCAGCAAAATTGAGAAAAATAGTGAACATTATGCACCTCTTAAAGAATTTTTTTATGGCAGCCATAGCGCATGGTTTTAAATATAAGTGATGTAAAGGCTCCATATTTGCATGGAAAATGTTTTTGAGAAACTTTCATCTTAGACGTTGCTCCGTAGCAACTATTTTATGGTACATTAAATCAGGTCAAAGGTAACTTGAAGCAGATTTAAGTAAATGACATTTGATCATAATTTCCTGTGCTGCTTTCTGTTAAAAGATTTAACTTGGTGTTCAATTTTCTTTGCTACTTTCTTTTGAAATTTGAAATTCTGATGTCATTTGATGTGGTAACTTCTGTTTAAAAGTTAACTTTGGTTGTCTGCCCTTTTTTCTTGAAAGTTAAAATTGGGTTGTAGTATTTGTGTGTGTTTTTTTTTTATGTACAGACACAGATGTGTCTGTACATATTGCCATCGCCTGCGTCTGTCGTCGCCGATGCCGATGGCGATGGCGATGCCGATGCCGATGCCGATGCCGATGCCGTGCACTTTCCTTGTAAACACGATAAGTGGAGGGCAGTTTTACTTTTTGGCATTATATTTACAGAGCTGGTGAATATTCATAAAACGCAGGTCAAGTTCGAAAATCAGCATGATCGGGCCATTATTGTAGAAGTTATGCTGTTTTTTCACTTTTCAGCATATTTTTCACATTTCCTCAGATTCAATTCTTAGGCATGTTAACAGTCTCATTATTAAACTAATAAGATACGTAAAAGTTTTTGTTTGACATTTCCTGCATCTTTACAACATTGTTAGTTGATTTTGTAAAAATGATGGTAAACTTGTTATCGTGTATTGTGTAAT